AAGGACGTTCGTAGTATTAAAACAAAAAGCTTAGCAAAATGCCAGGAACATCTCTCCTAGTTCAAGCTCAATTGAAAAGACATCCTCTAATTGTAAGGATGTGTTTTATGGTGGAAATGCATTTCATTATTTCTAGAATGCAGTAATTTCGGTGACCTTTGCTTCCCATATTATGAGGAGTAGCCATTTTGTGAAGAAGGAAATCAGAGGCTTCAAGTCCTACGGCCATCAGGTGGAGCCAGTCGAAGCATTACATTCACCCAAATAAGCTTCCAATTATGTTAATTACATGTAGTGGAACTACATACTTACATTGAAATAAGCACCTTTCAGGAGTTCGCAGCAGTTTACATACATTAGCTTGGTTTTTGATGTAATGGTCGGTTAGGAGAATGTGCAACAGCAAGCCCTAACGTTTTTGAGCTCTTGTGTCCCTGTTCTTCTGTATGCAAGAAAAATAGTACCGTAGGGTCCCCTTTTGGCTCCAAGCCAATTATAATTCAGGACCTCAAACATGGCAGCTGGGGTAGGCCAATGTAAAGACATCTCATTTGGCGCTTACCAATCTCTCTGCCCCACCTAACTTGGACAGTACAGTAGATCCTCTTTATATCCTGCATGTTGCAAAGGGAAGTGCTGCCCTTGTGCTTGTCTTCCTTTCTAGGAATGTCTCTAGACCCCGTAAACTGTCTCAGAAAATGAAAGTGATGAGCAGTTGTAATTGGTGTTTCATTCAGAATGGTGCCTTCTTGTCCACCCCTCCAGGACCAAGGTAATAAAGGGTTCCTTGTGGGATGGAGGTTACTAAGGTGGCAACTAGAACTCTGGTCAGAGGATTGTATTAAAAGAGTGTTTTTCAAACATGGTCACTTTAAGATGTGTGGACTTCAACTCCCAGAATTCCCCAGCCACCAGAATTTGGGAGTTGAAGTCCACACATCTTAAAGTTGCCAAGTTTGAAAAATACTGTAGTAAAATAATGCAGAGCTTTAAAGAATGCACATAACTCCTATTGACAACTCACTATACCAAAGGTATCTTTCTTTGAAGTCCTGCATGTGCTGGAGAAGACAGCCACCCAATCCTGGGAATAGCCTTAGCTTTTTTTCTTTTTCTTTTTAAGAGTTGCTAACAGGTGCTACACAAGTACCACTACTATTTATGTATGTATGTATTTATTTATTGTATTTATATAGCCGCCCATCTCACACAAAGTGACTCTGGGTGGCGTACAACAATTAAAAAGAATAAATACATAAAAACAATTACAAATAAAAAACTATAAAAGCACATAAAACAGGAAGGGGTAAAATTAATAAGGGAGCCATCGCAAAATCCCCCCAGCACCTTTTCTTTTTGAATCTGAAGCGCTGCACAGCCCGCCTTGTCTAGTCTTAAGGGCAGCTATTTTTGTAAAGAACAGTCCCCCTCAGCAGCCGTTTTATGACCATGCCTGTAGCCCACTCATAAATTGCAAATACGTCCACTGTATTTGGTTGAAAACTCTGGATTATGATGCCACTTTGAAGACAGTCTATGGTAGCCTCCTTCTATCTTGTGCTTCCAATATATTGGATTTCTACTTCCATAACTCCCAATCACTGTGACCAAAGTCCCACAGAAGCTGAAACTCCACACATCTGGAAGGCACCATCTTGGGGAAGGCCAATTTATTATTGGGCAAAGATAATAGTTTATCATAATTAGAAAAAACAGACTAATTGGAAGCTAATCTCTGGCACAGAAGGGAGGAAGAGGAGAGAGAATTTAAGTCTAAAGCTCACCTCTTTCTGTCTGTTTTGTAGGTGTGCAGATTATAACAACAAACCATCAAATTACTGACTATGTCGCACGTTACTCTAAGCCCTTAGTTGGTAGGATATGCCACGATGGCCTGCTTCACATATATTAAGCCAAAGAAAGTTTATAATTAGTGCGACTTTTGAACACAGGCTCAGCTATTGTTACAAAACTCAGATGAGAGAAGCTAAAACAGTATTCACATGGAACAGTCACTATTGTGGAGCCAAATTCCTTTTATGCCTGTGTATGGCTGGGGTTAGTGTTTGTGTTTCATTCACAGATAAGATATATGCAGGTTTTTTCCTCTAGAGGGCATGGAGAGTAAGCTGCTAAACATGATTTTTTTTTTTTAATGGCTGTCTGCAGAGCATTGTCTGACAATAATCATTGTCTGATTATTGGAGAGTGGGGGAGGAACAGGCAGTTAAAATAAGAGGGAATAGGGACTGGATTCAGCAGCATCCCATCCTAACATGGTGGAAATTAACCTCAGATGGTTACAATTCAAAGTTTTCTATCCTACTCCAGCTGAGGAAGTCCCAGAACAGCTTACAAAGATCAAAAATAAAGCAGCCCCTCCCAGTATACACCATAACTCAGTGGTTCTCAACCCTTGCCCACCTAAAAAAATAGGGGCCCCCACCCCCCCCCATACACCCCCCCCCGGCCGCCGCTGTGGGCAGCT